ATACACTTGAATGGACAAGTATTGTCCGGATGAGAATTAACTTAATATGGTTGATGAATTTGAGTTTTTGATAAATGGGACTTTTTGCAATTAACATTTATTTGAGTTTAAAATTGTTATATTGTAAAAAGGGGTATTTTATATCTTTTAAAGTGAAAAAGATAATGTGTCTACTAGACGTGGTGACGTAAGTTTGTTCTGGTTAGAAACTATATATTGCATTTGTGTTGTGTTGTAGCAATTTGTTGGCTTTATATTTTGATTATCAAACAGATTACATGTTTTTGCTGAAATGCATTTATCTCTATGTAAAAGATGTTTATCAGGTTTTGGTGATCTTCACCCTGCATTTGCAAAAAAGGGATTTACTCACTAGACCTTCCGGTCTAACCCTTATTTTGTGTTTCAAAAATTTGCATTGCAGGAACTGTGGGGTCGCAGGATAATAAGAGGAAGGGGAAAATATAATTATTTTCCTTGTATTATCTGTTTTGTGAAGATCAACCTGATGCTTGTATATTTTGAAGATACATGTTGCTATACATGTGTTAGTGCATGGATTTTCTTTTGGAATTTTTCACATGTAAATTCTGTACATATAGAATCCTTGTACTAGTAGGACCTATGTGGTGTAATCTATATTTCTTTTATATGAAATATATGTTATATGCAAATGTAGAGTTTGGGGTGTTACACACAACTCACGCGTCCACTTCAGTTTGAAGTTTATTTTTTTTACTTCTTAGACTATTTTTAATTATGCAATATGTATTTGGGAATCAGATGTGTTGAAACTCTAAATTTTTTTGGACTACGGTCACTTTATCAATGTATTTTTAAATTTATAATTATTGGATTAGGACATAAAATGAGATAGGTACAAACTGCATAAACCGCACCGCGCGTCACCACATTTTACGTGCGATTTGGGAAAATGCTCAAACCGCATATGCAGTGCGGTTTGTGGTTTGACCCTAAACCGCATCGCGAACACCCCTACTATAAATCTTTTCATTGATTCAATGAGGTTCCCAATAATAAGGGGGATTGTGAGTGGAAGCCATCATCCACAAGCATTATCCATCATAAGAAATACCTCACGATGATCCAAATGAATCATTGTGTAACTCTTGGAAAGAGAAAGTTGGCATGCATTTGTTTGGAATGAACATCTATTATTTTCTTTCAAAAGGCATAAAGGAAAAAACATGAGTAAAATATTATTCCAAGAATATATAGTTACTTATTCAAAATAAAATGTCCTATATGTGATCTTTCTTGTTTTGTTTTTTGACAATTATCCCAATATTAGGTACTTTTAACTGGTTGATCTCCTCAAACTTCCATCTGTAATTTTAAGGTCTCAGAATAACCTCTTATGCATATAGACAGAAGTTAATTAATGTTTCACAAATGTGCACACAAAATCAATAATTCCACACAAGTTACGGCATGCTTTAAAAGAAGTGACTTCCTCTCAACATTTACATTAAACACATGGCAGTAGGCGTTTAAAAGCAAAACAACCTTGCAATTTCTTTAATTGTCCCAAGTAAACAATCTTTTTAAGCTGCATATTGAAGTGCTTCAAATTTCAACATTTTAGCTACTAAATAAAAAGAAAAGACGCCATAGTACTTCATTATTCTATTAGAAGTTAAAATTTGGTTATATCGGCTTCTAGCTAGAAGTGGAGGGATTTCCATAGAGAAAAGAAATGGTTTGTATAACAAACACTTGTCAAAATGACACCTATTTATACATAGCACACGCTATAATAATTTTATAAATAGAACTCCCTGTGTATATAGACACACACAAAAGCTTGAGCAATTACAAGAATATGGACAAGTATGAGCACTTGGATAGCTGATACAGATATCATCCGAGTTTGGCTATCGAACTTGTTCAATTAAGCACACAAATGTACACATTCAATCTGACAAAGGTTGAAAGTTTACAGAATCCTAGCCTAAAAACAAGGCATGCATTTCCAGCTAAACACAGCTTCTTCTGAAACTTTTGCAGCAATAATATGAAGGGAAGTAATTAATTAATTTTATAAAAGACATGTAAAGCAAATTGATATTGCTCAAGTTAACCAAACAACTTAGACTGCTGATTATCCGACTAGGAAATTGATTCATTATGATGAAACCAAATGATGCAAGCTCCCTGAACACTACCAATGTTTTTAGACGTTTCATATCCTATCAGTTGAAGACATTAAAAGCACATAAACCTTAATTTTACATTCCTCAAGACACAAGCAATGTTCTTAACTGAATCCATCTCTTGATGCCACATATAACAGAACAGGTTACACCTGAACATTTATCCACACTGGATTAGAAGAAATATTGGTATCCAGGTAAAAGGAGCCAACCTATATATCTTACCACATCAACATCACTCGCAAATGAACTCCAAAAAATATGAATTAAAAGTGTATAGGAAATAGGCTCAACAATTAAAGCTAACAAATCAGAATCAATATATATACCTTGCATTACGAAAAAGACGGTGTGCCAAAAGTTTTGGTATTTTCCCTACTCTCCGCATGTCAGTGTACGGAAGATTCTTTACATTCACAATTCTCCATATACCAATATAACCCATTCTGTCTGGCATATGTCCTTCTGAAGAAAGAGTTTGTAAAGTAACATCATCTACAAACATGACGAAACAAACATTTTTCCTTGAATAACGAGAAACCTGGAATGAGGAAACAAATTGTGAATCAATGGAGTAAAAAATTCACTAGCCAAACCTTCATAATCAATGTAAGGCTTATTAAAATAGAACACAAAAATTGCTAAATAGTTAACATAAAGGGCTTGCAAATAATATTTGTCTGAATAGGTTATGAAACTCCACCAAGAACCTCACTTCATCAATTTTCTGCTACAAACATCAACCTTCCTGAATGTATCTCCTTCCGACAACAATTAACTATTATCCACCTATAATATGTATCTAACACTTTTCCACAAGTTAGCCCATTGTCAAAGAAGTCCAAGTTCGACATAGGGGCTCTGTCAAGAAAGATATCTACAACCACGTTGAGATATCTACAAGCACGTCTTCGGCAACAAGATGAAAATGGTTAAGTTTAGGGTTCATGAAAGGTGCAGTATTACTCTTGACATCTTCTCTTGCCCGGTTTTTCTTTAACTCTTTATTTGAATAGATTTTCTCCACTTTGCAAAGTAGGCAAGCAGGAATAATTTTCCTTCTTGTTTGTAGATTGAAAGAGTATATGCTTAGATGGATCTGCTTTCCTCCAGCACTAGGGTTAGGCACTTGCTTCCTAAGGTCATCATGATAGTCAGCCTGGTGCTGCTAATCTTGATACTAGTGCTTGCTGTAAAAAGGCCGCAGAGCTAACCCTCGTTTTATTGGATGATGGAAAGCATAATAAGATAAGTTCACTCGGGCAAGAGTCTTAGAGGCTGAAAAGAATACTTGCTGGCTAGCACTTCAACTTGGCCACTCTTTATGAGGAGATTCATCAAATAAACATACAATCAAAAAGACCATAATCAAATATTAACATCATCAAAAATGCTCTTCAAGTGGATGGATGTGTTTCATGCTCAACTTACAACCTATGAAGTCTACTAAAGTTTGTACAAGGTTCAAAAGGAATACACTCATATACAGCATAAATGTGAAAATGTTGAGTCCACTCTCCTAATTGATCTCGTAAGCCTAAAAATAGCCCTTGCCAACAAGATGAGCTTTCTGCATGAAACTTCAAGGTGAACACTCGTTTGCAATCTACACAGTGCTTTCTAGAGAGAATAGTTCCCAATACCCAGGCACAAGCACAAGTGAGGACGAATGTCATGCATGATGGTATTTCCTCAAACCACATTATGTTGAAACTCTACTTGTTTCAATGTTTCCATGCATTTTTTCTTTAACGGAGACATCGCTACACACTTCACTGATGCATTATAATCTCTTTGTGGCAGAAAAACTGCAATTTCCACTTTGGAATGTCCCATATGAAGACGATGTTCCATTTCTTGGAATGGTTTCAGGCTAAAGGTACCTATTTGCCCATTGACATCAAGTTAAATATTTATGGTGTTGATTTTGGTCTACTCCTTATAGCATCTCATACAGGTTCTCTAAACCGGAGAAAATAGAGATTTTAGAGATTTTAGGGATTTTAGGTTACTATTTTGCTCCAACAGATTCTCCAAAACCTTCTATAAAATGAAGAAAGTAGGAGAGAGAGGATAAAAATCTTCAAATTTGGAGAACTCACAAATATTAAATGTTTAAGAAAGAGAATCGTCTCTCTTTATTAATTCCAGACTTCCGCCAATGAGGTTGAATGCATTATTATTTTATATATAAAATTACTACGTTTATTGGGATGATAAATATAATTAATGTTGAAATATCCATAATAGAGATTGATGGAGTTGAGTTCAATGTACTTTTTTAGAGATTTTAGCTCTATTTTAGAGAAATTATAGAGAATATGTGGAGATGCTCTTAGGCATCATAGAACTAGAAAGATGATACTAACATACTTACATTACACTATGTAAGTCCATTACATTGAACACACAGAGTACATAACAAAATTCGTTAGCATTTTATACATTACTCAACCAATATTTTTGTCATATTCACTACTTATATAAGAGCCACGGCATTATTTGAATATGGTGCAAGAAGCAACTTATAAATACCCATAAAAAGATAAAGATACTAGAAATAATGAAAAAAAACCAACAAACTTGAATTTAAATATGTGTCTTTCTCTTGTCTCCTATTTCTTTTGCCAACAGGACTAGTAATTACACCAAAGGGCCTTTGGCCTTGCGGTACCTAGTAAACCAACCTCCTTAGAGGTCAAGGGTTCAAGCCTCACCAAAGGTGAGGAGTGTGTGTGAGCTCAATTTGCCGTATATAAAAATTATATACTTGAAAAAAGAACTAGTAACCACAAAAACCAAAAAGAATTCCCAAAACTTTCATCAATCTCCTCTTAGAATCTTTTATCAGATGCAAGGTTAATGAAGTAGAAAGCCCCTTGGTCAAAGGAATAACGCCGCATTGATTGAATATGGTAATCAAAGAGCAATGACAAGAACAAACTGACTACTATGGATGAAGTACTAATACATACAAAATATAAAAAAGGACGAACATTAAAATATTTTAAAGATGGGACAATCGGGACTGGTATGTTACTCTGCAATGTACTTAAGGTCTTAACTACGTGCTCTTGTTTCTAATATCACCACATTTCACCTTGGTTATCGATTTCTCTCCGCTTCAACTAACATGCTAATATGTTTGAAAACAAGGGATATGCCTTCTTTATTGTTCAAACAACATCCACCATTGGTTTTAGTCAAGCAAAATATCACGAAGGTTGAACTGGAAACTATACAAGAACTTGTTAATAGTTTTGGTAATTGAGTAATATTATAGGATTAAAAAGAAAATACATTAAGGCGTGTCCGTCCAGACCCTACCTTTGTGTAGGATGTACGGGGTTCGTTTGGTTTGGTTTGGTTTATTAAGGCATATCCCACTTTCTTATCTTATATACACTTCGGGGTTGTTCGGTTAGTTTTCTATTAAGACCTGTATAGATAAAGTTGTCTGCATTGATAAAGCTATCTGTATGATAACAGATAAGCTATTGTTCGGTTGTGGTGCTGAATAAACAGTCTGAATGATATACATGGGCATTTTACCCCTTGTTATTTGTTTTTTTCATTAACAAGAAGTATTTCAATTTCCTCATCATCCCCAACCAATATATATTTCATCGTTCCCAAAAGAGTTCCAATTTCTTCTTCATTGTCCTCCATACATGTAAACCCATCAATTTTGATTCATACAAAATCCATAAACTTGAAAATTAGAAGTTAGATTAGACACACTTAGCTGTAGCCAAAATCCACATACAAGATTGAAGATCTATAATCAAAACCCAGATACAATGTTTGTAACACACACCCAAATAGAAAATGTTACCGAAGCTCAACTCGAGAGAAACAAAGAAAAAAGAAAATCAAAGAAACAAGAAACAAATACAACCCACATTGTTGTGTTTGAGCTGTAATAGAAGCAATGAAACAAAAAGCAAAGCAAAAAAATAGAAAAATGAACACATCAGATCCAAATTGAGAGATGAAGAACATATGATGGAGAGATCGAGAGATCGAGAAGCAAGTAGGAGAGATCGGAGGTCGAGAGTGACAGAAGAGAACGAGAGCACCGAAGAACGATATAGACGAGAGAAAAGACCACCGGAGAACGATATAGACAGGAGAGGTGTAATATTCGGTTTCTAGATATAGTTGATTAGGTATTAAAGTAGTGTGTTAATGGAAAGTTCAAGGTTAGTTTTGGCATTTAAGGGTTGGAGAGGAATCGGGTTATGGTTCTTTTCTTTACTTATGTTTAAGTAAAATAGTTATATATATACATATATGTGTGTGTGGATATATATATATATATATATATATATAAAATTGTGTGAGTTTAATATTGGGTGGGAGGATGCATGGTAGGCACCCCCCCTAAGTCGGTTACATACTTGCTATTTATAGCAAGTATATAGGATGAAGGAAGGTTTACACAATCTTGATTCTCATAATATTTCTCTGGGTAAAAATCTGGGAGATCTTAAAGCAGAAGCAATTTCAAAGCTAATTTCTTCAAAGGAAAAGGTGAGTTTCTTTATTGCTTTGGATATATTTGGATGTTATATCTTCACTGTATATTTTGATGAGATTACACCATATGATGTTTGGTTGCAATGGAAACTGTATTACTGCTATGATATGTTTCATCGAACATTAAACATCCCAAAATACAACTCTCATCGGACAAAGCTTGTCCGATGAGGTCCCTTATCGGATAAGGCAGTGGCCGATGAGGCCACTTCACCGCACACAGGGTCGGCCGGGTAGGACCCTTCATCGATCAAGTTGTCCGGATACAAAATTGTTGCCCGATAACCCTTCACCGGACATGGTGTTGTCCGGACAAAAGCCTGGTGTTGTCCGGTAACCCCTTTCCGGTTATAGTATTGTCCGGTAACCCCTTTCCGGTTATAGTATTGTCCGATAACCCCCTTTCCGGTTATAGTGTTGTCCGGATAAATCAATGTGCTGCATTAATCTCTTCAATAATTAAGTGCTAACCGGAGTGTAACCGCTATAGATGAAAAGGCAGTGTAACCGCGATAGATGAAATGGCGGTGTAACCACGATAGATGAAAAGGCGGTGTAACCGCGATAGATGAAAAGGCGGTGTAACCGAGATAGATGATATGGCGGTGTAACCGAGATAGATGAAATGGCGGTGTAACCGAGATAGATGAAATGGCGGTGTAACCACGATAGATAAAATGGCGGTGTAACCGCGATAGATAAAATGGCGGTGTAACCGCGATAGATAAAATGATGGTGTAATAGCGACAGATGGACTGGCGGGATAACCAAAGATATTAATTTTACGTTAAGGTTCAGGTTTAAGCTATATTGAGATTTGCAGTAAATTATGTTTACAAGTGGGTAATTCGCTCACTAGACCTTTTGGTCTAACCCTCGATTATTGTACTAAACTATTTTGCAGGTCATCCATCATCTCAGGATAAAGGCAAGGGAAAGATGTAAAGATGACGTATTTGGAAGAAAGTTTTATCATGACAAAAATTTTGTTAACCCATACTG